TTTCTTGGATTCATTTCTTAGATGCCTCTAAAGTGAGTACAAAATATTTTAGTGAATATAGATTCCACTAATTTAAGCAAATAAAATTTTATCCACAGTGATAAAGTACTATAAGATGTTTATTTGGCCATATTGCAAACCGCAAAGCCCAAAAGTAGAGAGAGAGAGTATAAGGGAAATTGTTTGCCATAGAGGCAGGAAGGATTGGAAAGGGACATTGGTAGTGAAGAATGTGCACTGGTGGAGGGATAGGTATTCGATCATTGTATAACTAAAACTCAAACATGAAAGTTTTGTAATTGTATCTCACGCTGATTGAATTAAAAAAAGATGTTGATTTGGATTGTTGCATAAATATTTACTCCTTCATATCAATAAGAGAATAATTAATAGTATATAGAACTTTCAGGTAGAAATAGGAACCTGCTTTGTCTAATTCCTTCAATTAAGGGCAATCTCCACATGCAGGTCTGCATCCTGGCCAGAGATACATGGTACAGGGGTTAAGGCGCTAGTCTTGCATGCAGTCAACGCTGAATCCTTACCCACCACTACATATGATTTTCAGGTAATGCCAGTAGTGACCCCTGAACACACATACAATAACCCCTAAGTTACATGTGACCCCCCAAACAAACATCTTTGCTTCAATGACTGGGAACTTGCAAAAATGAACAGAAAAAAAGGACAAATTAGAGAAAATGTGTATTTATGTATAGGTTTCTTTCTGAAGCTCTTCATCCCCAGATGTTTCAGAGTAATATCACAGTTATACCAACCTGGGGCTCTGTGGAATATTAAGGAAAGGAGCTCTTCCCTAGGTGTCTTTTACACTGGAGCCTGTTTTCTATCCCCTTCAGTCAGCATCTCTACTTCATCTTGCACATACCAGAACACTGCCGTGGAGACACTCAGTAGCCTGGCACAGATGAACAGTTGGTTCCTCACAAATGGATTCTTATTCCTAGACATCTGAACTAAGAGCCATTGTTTTTTTTTTTATTTTTGGTGAGGCATTTATTTCATTGAGTGTTTTCACTATATCCCATCACTGTCTTCAGATCCTGAAGGTTTCATCAGATAAGTTGGCTGCAAATCTTTTTTTTTTAATTAATTTTAGTGAAACACCATGAGGTACAGTTGTAGATTTACAATTTTTTGTGCTTGGGTTTTGATTATACAATGATCAAATACCCATCCCTCCACCAGTGCCCATTTTCCACCACCATGTATAATATCCCTCCCACCCCCATCCCTCCCATCTTACCCTGCCTCTGTGGCAGGGCAATCCCCTGTGTTCTCTCTCTCCTTTTGGGTGCTGTGGTGTGCAAAAGAGGCTTTGAGTGGCAAACATGTTCAGTCCATAGTCTACTTTCAGCATGCATCTCCCCTCCTGGGAGGATCCTCCAAACACCCTTCATTTGGTCTAAGAGCCATTATTAACCATCCTTAAACAATTGAGCGAAGATCACTCAGGAGAACAGTTTCTAGTTTTTTGAGGAAGGCCCATATTGTTTTCCAAAATGGTTGGACCAATTGGCATTCCCACCCACTATGAAGGAATGTACTTTTCTCCTGACATCTATGCCAGCAATAATTGCTCTTGCTCTTTTTGATGTGTGCCAGTTTTTGTGGTGTGAGATGACATCTCATTGTTGCTTTGATTTGCATCTCCCCGAATAGTAGAGATGTAGAGCTTTTTTTCATGTGTCTTCTCGCCATTTGTATTTCTTCTTTCAGGAAGTTTCTGTTCATTTCTTCTTACCATTGTTTGAGAACATTGTATGTTTTGTTCTTGTAAAGTTCAACCAGTGCCTTTGATATCGATATTAACAACCCATATCAGATGAGTATTGGATAAATAATTTTTCTCAGTCTGTGGGCTGTCTTTATATCTTTATAACCAGCTATTTGTATCAATTGCTTAGAAGATAAGTGAGTTTGTCCTCCTAGTGCAAATAAACATGAGGAAGTATTGACTCTGATTTTCTAATTTCATTACTACTAAATGTAGTACTATTTTGTAAACACCTTTATGTTTCTGGATATTAAAACTGTGAGATGAGACAAGAGATTTTGGAGTTAAAGTACGTCAAAATAACCCTAAATTTGTTTTGAATATATGTTCATAAAGTTCATAGAACTTAGATACTTTATAATTTTTCATAAATTTCAAAAGAGACATCATACTGAAGGATTCATTCTTTTTTGTTTATTTTTCAGAGCATAATGTAACAGGTCATTGAATGGGGCAAATTTTCTTACATTTTGTGTAATTAACTCTAAAAACTTTTGGCTCTAATTCTCATATGTTGCAGCTTCAAGATGCATTGATGATCTGGGAAAATCAGTTAAGTAGTTGATGAAGAATCAGTGATGTCAAATTTCAAAAGAAAAATGAGGCTTTAAAGGAAGAATCTTGGGCCCATTTTCTAAAATACTTTGAGTAGAATGATCTTGCTCAAATATTTTGGGAATTAAAAACATACAGCAAGGTAGCAACAAATGTGCAAATTTAATGGGAGAACTGATTCACACAATCGAGTTGGGGGGAGGGTTTGATGGGGAGGAGTGTTGGGGTTCTTAGGATGGGGGTACGGTTATAATGGATGTGGTATTTGAATTATGGACACAAGAAGCCATTATTAATAGTATTGTAAACCACAGAATCAATAAATGAAAAAAGCTAAATAAAATAAGATGTTGGGAACAGAAATAGCTGGTTGATATTCTGGCTACTGCAAAACAACCTTTACACTATAGCAGATTCTCCAGTGGAAGGAAAAATGGAAAGGGAGCTGGTTGAAATGTTTGTATACAAAGAAGACTGCTGTTGTTTATAGACAGTTGTGACTTTCTGCCCATCTTAAAAACAAGTCATTGTTTTACTGGTGTAATGTGGTGGTAATGTTTGCTAGAATGGAGAAGAGTGGATATTTGCGGGGTGTTAATTTGCTAATAGGTAGCTATAAAACAAATCACTGTCACTGTCCTATAAAACAAATATATCTTTAAATTCATCTCTAATTTTTACATAAAAGCAAAGGCAAAAGCACAGACTAAACAATTCAGTAAACACTACTAAAGAAACATTTTCCAGGGTGAGTGGGGTGGAGAGTCTAGAAAATTCATTCTGTGTGTGTTGGTGTTTTTCCTGTGTTTGTATGTCTTCTCATTTTTATATGTAATCACTGTCCTCCCGTTGTTCATCAATTTGCTTGAGCGGGCCCAGTAATGTCTCCACTGGAGACTTTGTTGTTACTGTGTTTGGCATATCAAATACATCATGGGTAGCTTGCCAGGCTCTGCCCTGTGAGCGAGATACTCTCGGTAGCTTGCCGGGCTCTCTGAGAGGGGCGGAGGAATTGAACTTGGGTCGGCCATGTTGGCTGTGTGCAAGGCAAACGCCCTACCCCTGTGCTATTGCTTTTATATGTAATGATGAAATTTAAATCAATTAAACCTTTGTTGATTAAATCATTAAAAACTTATGTATCTATAAATAGAGTATATATATTATCCTTTTTATTTGCTTTCCCCCTAGTTGTTTCTAATTTTAAAAATTATGAGACAGAAGCCATGTATTTTCTATAAAAACTCAGTATCATTTTGGACCTCTCTAGCATGGAGTCAGATTACTATAATTAAGTAAACACACCTTTGTGTTTTGAGGCAGGTGATGTTGGTGTTTCTGCAAAGTGTCCCCTAAATACTGGTGATGTGAGATCATCTGAATATCAGAGGGAAACATTATGTTTCATGACCAGAGACATAGGATCTAATCCTGACTCTGTTGAATAATATCTCTTCTACCTTCAAGGAGTCTTTGTACTTTTATTTTGGCTTTATATTTTTAAGTTATGGATTTTGAACTAGAAAATTACTCAGATTTCTTCTAGCTCTCAAATTCTCTGATGTAAAATTCTTACCATAGAGCCACCAATGTGCTAAATGCCTAAGATGGAGAAGTTCCTTGTGAGTACTTTATATATCCTGGATATCTAACCCTAATCTGATGTGTCATGCAATTTGCCACAACATGGAACTGGAAGATAATCATAAGCCAGAAGAAGAAAGACAAACACAGGATGATGTCACTTATCTGTGAAATGGACTTATCTGTGAATAGGCATCAGGGCTTTTTTATACCGATGATATGGGGGAGGGGTATAGCCAGATTTTCAAAACACAGATTCATTAAAACTGAAGACATATGCTCGCTTCGGTAGCACATATAGTAAATTTGGAACGATACAGAGAAGATTAACATGGTCCCTGCACAAAGATGACATGCAAAATCATAAAGCGTTCCATATTTTTTTTAAAAAAACTGAAGACATGATACCTAAGCAGTAACCAGTGAAACTTTGCAATATTCCTGTCACGCTGACAGCTAACAGGTAGTGGTAAAGTGGGGGTTGGGATGGGGAGGGATATGGGAGCACTGGTGGAGGGAAGCTGACGCTGGTGGAGGGTCTGCTATTGAATTAGTGTGTGCCTAAAACACAACTATCAGTAAATTTGTAAGTCATGATGCTTTAGTAAGAATATTTATACAAATAAAGAAAAAGCAAAAAAAAAGTCATTTTAAATGTGAAAAAACCCTAAGATAATATAAAGAAAGAGGAGGAAAAGATGGAGGGCGTCCATATGGTTGCATTGACTTGCTTTGGAATCAGAGAATGGGTTTAGGAGATGAGCACCTTTCTAATAGCAGCTTTTGAAGGTAGACGTTTTATAGCTCATTTAATGTAGCACTGAAATTTAAAATAGTCTTCAAATAGAAAAATCTTGATGAAGATTATTGATCCACCCTCTGAGAAGAGGTTGTCACTTTCCTGAGGAGAAATTGTCATTTTCCAGGTTAAACGTTAGCAAAATTCCCTTAAAACAGGACAGTTCTGCATTTTGATAAAGTGGAGCACCTGCTGCTTATTGTCAAGAGGGGTAACAATGAAAAGATGATCTTCTATCTATATTGATCATTTTTTTTCTCCAAGGGCTTTCCAGGAAACTCAAATGCAGACAGCGTGGTGCAATACAGACTCCATTCCCCCTTTCAAGCCAGATTTCTGCGCTTCCTTCCCGTGGCCTGGAACCCTAAGGGCAGGATCGGGATGCGGATTGAAGTATATGGATGTGCATACAGTGAGTGATGGCTATGCCCAAATGGCTATGTTACCATGCTAACTCCATGTTAGCAGGATATTGTTCACTGAGATCACGGTCACGGTCCTTCCATTGTTAATCGATTTGCTCGAGCAGGCCCAGTAACGTCTCCTTCGTGAAACTTGTTGTTACTGTGTTTGGCATATCGAATACATCACGGGTAGCTTATCAGGCTTTGCCAGGTGGACTAGATAACCTCGGTAGCTTGCCGGGCTCTCCGAGAGGGGCCGAGGAATTGAACTCGGGTCGGCCATGTTGGCTGCCTGCAAGGCAGGCGCCCTTACCTGCTGTGCTATTGCTCCAGCCCAGCAGGACATTACAAAAACCAAACTGAAAACCCTTGTTGGTCTATGTCCTTTGATTATCATAGTTGTTTATTTATTTTTACTTGGATCACATGAAATATTCATTCACAAAGCTGTTCATGATCGGGTTTCAGTCACAAAATGTTCCATCACCCATCCCTCCACCAGTGTACATTTTCCACCACCAATGTCTCCAGTTTCCCTCCTGTCACCCCCACCCCTGCACCCAGCCTGCCTCTATGGCAAGCATTTTCTTCTTCTTCCTCTTTCTTCTTCTTCCTTTCTTCCTCTTTACCCCCCTCATTTTCCTCCTCCCCCTTATCCTCCCCCCTCCTCTTCCTTCCTCTTCTTCTTCCTTCTTTTCTTTTTCTTTCTTCCTCTCTTCCTCTCTTTTGGGAATTATGCTTTATAATGTAGATACTAAAAACAGTACATCATGTTTTTTTTCTTTACCCACTGCTCCATAATTGATCTGTTCAGCCTTTTAAATATCTGTGTGTGTAGAACTGGACTGAATGGATATCTTTGATAATACTGCTGTTCCTTCAGAGTTGAGTTCAGACACCTAGTCAGAAGTTTAGAGACATAGATGTCTAAAGTTTCCCAGAGTGCTTGTTCATAAAATTAACGAAGTTCAAATTGACAACAGAAGTTAACTTAAAAGCTGCTTGCTATTTTCTGACACTGTAAGGACACTTGTGGGAGTGGGTGTTGCAGGCCCAGATGCCCATGTGATATGTGGACCCCACAGTGTCTACATTCTATTTGCACCCCCTCATTACATGCTTTCTGTACAGCCATCTAACTTAATTTACTCTAAACTTTAGAACATCATCTCTATATTCTACCTGCTGATTTCCACTGATAATAAAAAAAATAAAGCTAGAAAAGTCACGAACATTGGAGTATTTGACAAAATCTATCCTCAAGTTGCTATTTTGAAGATGCAAAATATACTGTTATTTCTTACGTTAGTAGAAATCACACTATTTTTAAAGAAATATCTTTAGAAAACTGAAAAAATGTAGACTAACTTGGATCATAATAAGATTGGGTTTTTTTCCCTTTAGGTTTGGATAATAGCAGGCAATACTCAAGACTTACTCCTGGCTATGTGTCAGGGATCAGTCTTGTTGAGCTTTCTAGACCATATGTGGTGCCAGAGATTGAACCTGGATTTGCTGCATGCAAGGCAAATGCCTTACCTGCTGTATTATTGCTCCAGCCTCAGGGAACAACTTTTCATTTTAGGTTCAGGTCAGGTTGATCATTCACACTTCCTCATACCTTATTCTGTATCTGAGTCAAGCATTAGTTTGGCATAAGTATGTAATTATAATATCTACCACATGTAGAATTCACAATGTGTCACATACTAACAACCATACTCCAACAGACATTTTCACTTGAATACCGCACCAACCAAATGAGTTTAGTATAGTGATAATTGCACTGCTTTAGAGATCAAAGAAAACTGGACCTTGGGAAAATGAAGATGTTTTCTGGCTGTCTAGAGGATACCTAGGTATTAGAATAAAGGAAAGAAGGAAGGAAGGCAGAAAGGGACAAGGGAAGAAGGGAGAGATTGAGGGAGGGAGGGAGGGAGGGAGGGAGGGAGGGAGGGAGGGAGGGAGGGAGGGAGGGAGGGAGAGAAGGAGTAAAGGAACTTTACCAGAATTGTACTTTCAAAGTAAAATATTTGGATAGTGTTGTAGAAAGGAGGGAGTATACTCATCAGAAGAAATTAAGGTTTTATTATTGCAGGGACAGGCTTTGTGTGTATAGTGAGTTATTGAAAATGCTAACATTATCACTTTGGTTATCCATAGATAATGTGATTTCTGAAGGTGAGGTTAGCACAATCAACTTCCTTATAGATATGAGAGTAATTCTAAACCTTCCCAATCCCCAAAGTTTCACTGTTTACCAAACTTTGTCTATATTTTGCTGTTTCTATTTCCATGGGCTATTAAACTGGGGAAGGTGTTGTGTTTGCATCCATATTTTTTTCCTGCTTTGCATTAGTCAGTTTTTTCCACCCTTTTGTTTCTTGGATCTCTTAAATGAGCTCAGACTTCCATAGCTAGGACACCTGATATTTAGAGATTCCCTTTGATCCCCTGAAATTAGCATCTCCTTCCATATTCTGCAAAGAACTTCAGGGGTAGTGACTTCAAACCTCAAAAAGCTCTTTGATGGGGATTTGCCATTAACTTGATATTACTTTGGCAGAATGTATTGGCTAGTTCCTTGGTTTAGATGGCATAAGGAAGATTAAAGCTGAGTGTCTGAAACCCAGAATTTCCCATTTGCTTTGCTTTGGAGCTGTGGTGCTAGCTGTCATTCAGTAAACATGAGCTGTTAGAGACAATGTTCTCTTTCTCTCTCTGTCTCTGTCTTTCTGTCTGTCTGTCATTCTCTCTGTGTGTGTCAGACAGATAACAAATCACCAGGGCTTCACAGTTTACTTTTTTGATGAGTATGTAATGTGTACATTTCTCTTTTAAAGTAATAATGGATTTTATCTTTGTCATTTGTTTTTTCACTGAACACTTTATGTTGAGAAGAGCATCAGTGGCTTATCTTAACAGGCAGTATCTCTTGCTTTCAATGCTTTTTCAGTTGCTTTTCTTTTCACTTGTTCACAATTACATTACTATTCCTATAAACATTGCATTTTCTTTTTTGGTGTTTGAACCACAGTCAGTAATGCTCAAGGGTTACTCCTGGTTCTGTACTCAGGAATTAACTCCTCATGGTTCTCAGAGGACTATATGGGATGCCGGGATTGAAGCTGGGTCAGCTGCGAACAAGGCAAATGCCCCTAACTGCTGTACTACCGATAGCTCAAAGCTTAAACATTTTCTTGCCTTCCTGAAATGGCATATGCACTCTGTCTTTTGATGATGATGATGATGGTGATAATGGTGATGATGTTGTGTGTATATGCAGCAAGTAGAGAGAAGGGGTGTGTTCTTAGGGGTCTAACCAGTCTACAGGCAAGGTCCTGGGTCTGCTGTGGGGCTCTCCTTGTCTGTGTCTTATTGACTTTTCTGGGTCATATTAGTCATCTGAATGAACCACTTTCCTTTTCCTCCCTTGCTGCCTCCCAGCAGTTCTATCCACCTGATGTCCACATTCCTTTCAGACCTGCTCTAGGCCTTGCCTTTCACTCAAGGCAAGTGCAAGGCATGTGCAAGGCAAGTCACATGCTGGGCAAGTGCCCTTTCCTCTGTGTTATGACTCCCAGTGTCCCAGTCATGTCAAACTAGACTTTGAAAATAACTTTGAAAGTTATTTGAAAGTAAAGACTTTGAAAGTCAACAGGGAAGAGGAGACCAGTATGCAATTGTAATTTATTTATTTATCTTTTATATTTTAAAATATCAATGCAATGAAAATAGAGATTTTGATGAATGAACTCAAGACATGTCAATATTTATTAACCTGCTCCTAAACTGAATAAAATTAAATAACCCATATTTGTTAAGTACTTGAAGAAGCTTGAAAAAAGAATACAGCTAGAACTTCCTTCTTGTCTGTAACTCTCCCACTCTGAATGGATTTAGAAACTGTTAATAGAACTAGAAAGGCATGATGTATAGTAGAAGGAAACTTAATAAAGAAGGAAAACCCCAGACATTCTTCAGACCTAAAATTCTGTAGTCATAAAGAGAATAGTGTGCTCCCATGTGTGCTCCAATTTCAATTATTAAAAAGAGTAGAAAATTTATTGTACTGGTAAAATGAATGACACAGTAGTTGACTGCCAGGAACCTGGGTTCCTATGTCAGGGAGGGCAAGTGTCCATTCTCTGCAGGCTGCTCAATTTGGTATTGGGTTTCTCACTCTCAATTTATATCAAAGTATAAAGAGAAGATAGATTTTTTTTATTATTTATTGAATCACTGTGGGAAAGGTTACAAAGCTTTCAGGTTTATGTCTCAGTCATGCAAATATCAAACACATTTCCCTTTACCAATACTTATTTTTTACCATGAAGAATCCCAATAAAACCCCACCCCCCACCCCTCCCCGTCCCTGTGAGGCAGATGAATTCTAGTTAACACTCTATCTGCTTTGATTAGATTAATTGTTTCAATAAAAGATTCACCACTATTTTTTAGAGTTTACCCCCCCCCCCAATCAGACATGCTGAAAAAGCATTGTGAAGTGATTTGCTTTCTACAGCTGGGTTCAAGAATTAAATGTTGGTTTTGGATTTCTGCTATTTTACCTATTGACCCTGGAGGTATTTCTACTGAAAGTCAGATAGTTAAGAAATTGGTTTCTGTGTTCTGGAGTCGTGGCCGTGCTGGAGAGCCGCTCGCAGGGGGCAACTGGTGGCCTCGGTAGGGCGTGAAGGGCGGAGCGAAACGCCCCCCTTCCCATGAGGTTTTAGTCGCCCCCATACTCCCGGCTCATACCTGCTGTACACAAGGCTACCATGTGGCCGCCATCTTTCTTTCCAGAGAGGAGAGGGCGAATGGGGCAACACCCTTTCCCCTCCGGCAGACTTGATGGCCTGGATCAACGCATAGTCCGTTCACTTTTCTGCTCCAAGCTGCTGGGTTCTGCATTAAGTCCTTGTGCTTCTGGGGCCATGGCCGTGCTGGAGAGCCGCTCGCGGGGGGCGACTGGTGACCTCGGTAGGGCGTGAAGGACGGACCGGAA